AGCACCCCCCAGATATTTATCCCCCCCCCTTCCGAACGAAAATATGAAAATCCGTCTCTGGTTTAGTTTCGAAAGATGTGGCTTGATACTGTGTTTTGCCACACAGAAAGGAGAGTGTGTCATCGTGGAATAAATCTGCAATAAACAAGAATAGATTAATTATACAGGTTGTACAATTATCCACGTAACATAACTTAGCATATGACCAAGATAAATGAAAGAATGTGGCCTATTACTCCTCGATCAGCTTAAATCAGAACTATATGAGTGCACTTATAAACTCAAGGTACATTGTTTATTCGGAGTGATATTTACTGAGAAAACCTGTAAGAAAACAGTGCATCCTGAGTTATCCTGGAAATGAGGTGTGATCACACATGAATGCCTTGGCACACACCTCGGCTAAACCTTGGCTTAAGGAACAGTGTGATTTATCTCAAGCCTCTATAATGACACAAAAATCAAGAAGTATCTCCATCCAGAAAGCTAGCACCTCCAGCTTATACTGTACATGTTAAGTTGGTACATAACACAAAACCTAAATCCCTCTTTCAAAAAGATAGTCTGTGGTACATGATCATAGTTTATGTCTATTTATAAAACGAGACCTCAGAGTCAACCTTTTAACATTATTACACAAGACAGTTCGCACTTTAGTATTACTTATTATAAGTATTACTCGTATATGTGACTGAATATAATAGCTTCGTAGGTTGTAACCAAAATATTTGCGATTGTGAAGCACAGCTTAATTGCTAAAGTAGTGGGAAATTTTACACTTTCCCATGTGTATTGCACTATAGGAAGCTGTTTCCTTAACAAATAGAATGCCATTTTCATCGTTATACTTATTAATTTCATGTCAAATAAGATAAAGTGTAAATAAAATTGAATATGAAAATACGTCTCTTTAATTAAATACCTTTGTAAATCCATATTCAAGTCTCGTCTTTTTCCCACATTTCTTGAGGTTTTAAAATTTGTTTGTCGTCTTTGATGGGCGAGAATAACACGTTCGACTTGCATATCTTTGTCCAAATGGTCAAAGGTAGAAAATTTATATCGAAAACATTTTAAAAACCGATTCAAAACAATAAGAACTATGTTATCTGGCATATCTGCTAAACTTTTTTGCAAAAACCACGGGTGTGTGAAAACGGCCGTGGGCTCAGAATTGAACCTGGTCAGTGGTACCTACCATGAGAATTTCGGAAGTGTTGTCATGGAAATGGCGTCATTTTCACTCAAAATCCGCCATGTTTTTGGCGACACTCGATGAAGTTATTATACAGCTCAGTGGATTGACCCCTAATCCAGGTCGCGTGAAGGCTAATTTCCACTCCGGGATATAAGCAGCGGATCGGACTGGATCGGAACAAAACAAAATCCGTGCATGCGCCATCAGTAGAAATTTTTTGTTCCGATTGATCCAGCGACGTTGCTGGCTGGATAATAAAAAATGCCGTATTATCTCACATAAATTAAAATAATTAAATAATACCTGTATAAGATTTACAAAATGGAGTATGTAAGACTGGAACGAGCTCAAATTTTCCTTTCCGATCCGATCATTCCACTTGTGCTTTTACTGGAAATCGCTTGTTGGATCGGACCGGATCGGAGAAACCTCCGAGGCTTATTTTCCGGAATGGAAATTAGCCTTGATTGTCAACTCTCGTGCACTTTCAGTGGCTACCGACAATTTGGTCCCACTATGCAAATTTGAGCTCATCGTTATTCATTTCTTTAGAAATTGATTGTGTTGATAGTTTATAAACATGGCAACATTTGCATAGCGGACTGAATCGACGGGCTGGCTATGCCACTGTGCACTCTCATCCTCGAGCTCGTTTGATTTGGGCTTTATCGAATAACTTCACCCAAGTACGTACACCACAATCCTCTATTCAGCTTCTCGACAAGATAACACAAACTTCGGCCAGGATAATTTTTGATATCATACTCAACCTCACGCAATAATTATTACTTTACCATGCATACCTTCTTTGCCAGGACCCACGCACTTGCGACTACAACCGCTTGCGCAACATTTCATATCCCCACTGCACTCGACATCGTGAGCGCACTCGCTTGTACAATCACCAGCATGTGATGTATTGATAGGAGGACAATAACCTGGCTTCACTAAGATACAAAAATAAGATATAAATACATGGACCCGATAATAATAATAGTGCCTTTATTCATAGAGCGTGACAGGTAACAGTCCTAAGAGACTGATAAACTACTGGCCCACAAACTACACTATGCTACATGCAATATAATATTAAAAATATCAAAGTCCCATTTACCTACATTTTGAATAAAAATAATTGTTTGAATACCCAGTTGAAATTTCCATCCATTGGAGTTAACTAATATAAGGTTAATATGTACTAGAGAGGTGGTCTACACAATTGTATCTATATATGCATATATGTATAACTGTTTTCTTAATTAATGGCAATCTATTCCAAGTTTTAATGCATGCTACTGTAAGTAATATTTCAAATCAGACTATGAGGACTAGACTAGATTTCAAGTCGGAATTTGATCAAGTCCGAGGTGAAGTCGAAGACTGGATCAAAATACAAGGACTTGAATACTAGTCCAGGTCGAATTGGAGGATTTGAAATGACATATCATACGAATAAATCACTACTTAAAGTGAGGTGAATAATTTTGATCCAGTACAAGGACTGAATTAATTTTGATCCAGTCCTAGGACTGGATCAGTATATTTCACCAGGCCGGTATCCAGTATTATCATGTGAGCAAAATAAAGCAATATGATTATTAGCTACTTTACTCATGAATTATTAATGAGTTTGAGATAAGATCTTCCACCTTCGTTCTCACGTTTATATCTCGGGCAGACTACATTAATATGTTCATGTCTTGTAGCTCTAGAATTATAAATTACTGAACATTTCACAATTTCGGTTTCATCGTAAAATGGGATCCACTTAATTTTCTAAAGAGTTCAACACTCCGGTCCTCTTTGTTCGCATACAGGATCTCATATATTGATCACCTGGCGAAGTAAAACAGTCTGCCGCAAAGCCCTGGAAAGTACGTAACACGTTTGCTTCGGCGACCTCGAATTTCAGTCAGTTTTGTACATTAATGACACTTTTATTTAGTGAAAACCTCAGAGTTGATGAAACATGAAAATACACAGCTCATTCTCCAAGGTTGCTTGGTTTTAAAATATTATTCAGTTATCGACACCACTGTATCCTATCAATGGCACACCAATGTGCATATTTAAGATTTTAATCGATAATCTACCTGAAGTCATTTGAAGATTCATCGACGCACTTCCGCAGTATACTACGGTTATGCTGAAAACCACAGGATGCAATTGCTCTTTAATAGTTTGAGTTTATTTGATTATTTCTATGTTTTGTTTTAGATACAGTTTAATATTCTGGTGGTACTTTTAATAAGACTTTTTCTATTTTTTGAGTTATATTTGTAACATTCCCTGATACAACGACGAATACTACGCAGTGTTTCATTCGGGCAATCAACTTAGTCATTACTAACCCCGTGCGCATGCAAACGTTGCGCTAATAAAGCTCAAAATCTTCTGTCGTTCGCTCAAAATTTTCTGTTATTAAACGTACAAAATCTTAGTACGTTTAACAATTAGACCAATAAACCGTACTTTACCAAGCAGTTAGTAAAAAATAATATTTTACCATAAATGTCGGGTAGACTGCATTTTCTCTCGCAACACTTCATTGTTCCAGGACACTCCAGGTCTTTAGTACAACCGAGATCAGTGGAAGGTGATTTTGGACATAAACCATGTTTTGATGGAGCACTGTTACATTTGCAGACCTTACAGCCACGAGAATCTTTTACGAAGCCATGCTGGCAATATATCATACACATTACTGGGTTGCACGCTACAAGAAATAGGAATCTTTATTAGTCCACGCGAACGATGCACGCATGCATATACAGCGGATTATCTCAATTGCAGGATCTTCTTAGCTGGCCTGTATGAGCACAGAACCATTGTTTAGAACCTTAACATTTGCGGGTGGTATGGCCTAGGGTTAAACATCTCACCGGTAAATTTAAGAAGGCAAAATGGAGGTCTGTGCTCACCCTATGCCTTAGCTAGTATAGTAGCTGGTGTTTCGACGGGCAAAAATGGAAAATCTCGGGAAAATAAAACGGATGGGGCTTGATTATTTAAATAAAGCCGCTTGGCTTTCTAAAACAGAGTGTTGCCACTTAATAAATGGTGTATTTATGCTTAGGTATTCTTATTTACAAAAACGTAGCCGTAATGACAGCTGACCCACACAGAACTTATTGCTCCATTTACAGGGTACCTATAATGTAAATAGGTTTAAGTATATAATGACAATATTAGTGTTAAAATGTCCTTTATGTAACACATATCGCCAAAATAACTCCATCCTCGTACCCAGGGTCTGTGGCACCAGAGTGTGAGAGAAAATAGCCTGGGCACGAGGTTGAAATAACTGTACAATGCAATGTTGCAGTGTAGAAATGATCATATTTGGTTTCAACACATAGAACGATGCATAAATGCTAACTACTAAAAAGATCATTGGAGAAACAGACGTTAACTAGCCCAAAATGTTAAATCTCTTAGCTAAGACCTACAAGCTTTAGATCAATGATGATCGACGCAACATCTCTGGTTGGACCATTTATCCCATTGTCGACTTGTACCACTTTTGTATATTTTTCCGGTTCACGTCTCAAAAATGCAGTTCGAGTTACCGGGTAAATATGAGCAAAGTAAAATGAAATTTTCTCCAGTTAGCGTGGAGTTCAAGTTAAGCGAATTTGAGTTAGCTCTACTGTAGTTAATTTTTGTGTTTCAGTTCGGGTAAAGATACGACATCAGGTCTCGGAATTGGCGAGAAATCAATTCGGAAAATTACAGTTGAGTATAAATTACGGTGCATGTGGACTAAAATTGAAGACGCACTGTACTGTTAAACACTGTGCTAGGTAATGTTTAACTTAACAGTATAGTACAAACTTTGTAAGTTATTTGTAAGGTGCACCATGATGGCTCACAATTGTGATGAATAATCCAACACCGGCCACGCTAACTCGTTTTCCGCTTCCCTTGGGAGTTCGAGTTAGCGGGGTTAGATTGTATAGCAAATTAAACTCTAGAGGTACAGGAGGATCTGTGATAAAATTCGACAAACCTTTACTACAATCAGGTGAGGGCTTTCCACGGCCGACTCTTGTTCCCAGAAGTTCGATACCGTTGTCGTCCACGCACCACTGGTAGCCTTCCCATGACTGCACTTGTTTAAAACTACCATCAGCTTCACATTGCGGTGTTTTGGCACCCAAAAGAAGTGGCGTTCTTGCTTTCAATCTCATCTGTTCACATTTCGTAAGTACTGCAAATAACCAAAATGGGATCTATATACGTCGCCCGCGACTCAGTGACACTCTTGGAGAGGTAATTATTAATTGGAATTTATTTCATGTAGGTATAATATCAGCATTTTAGGCATCTCGCTCGAATATAACCAATTGTTTGAAGAATTTTGTTGATGGAAATTTCGAATGTAAATGTCATACATTTATTAGATCTAAACAGGAATGGTAGCGAAAAATGCAACTATATAGGCCCTTATTTCGTGTCTGCCTATCATTTTGTACTCATAATGAATTTTGGTTGGATAACAGGCAGGCTTATATGAAGTATAGAGTTTAGACCTTTTGATTTTGTAGTTTATTCCAGGTGAAGGCGAAGGGTTTTGCATGCATTAAGGTATATTTCTGATACACAATTTAATTTCTATATATAGTGGTTTAAATAAAGAGCCTTTTCCAAATAACTTTAATTTATTATCCATTTTCATAACTCAACAATTGCATTAAATATGACATATTTATGAGTTAAAGATCGGGTTTTAAAATGTTGCCGTTGCGCAAAACAGCATAATTTGCGCGTACTATATCAGCGACTCAACTACTCATTCCTTAAAAACAACAAGCTGCGCAGGCTAAGATTAAAGTGCTTATGAAACGGAATTTTTGCCTCATTTTTTAATGTTTTATTAAAAGGTACTGCTCAAATGATGAAGAATGACGTTTACAGTTTATTCGTATCTCATCTCATTCTCAAGTTATCGCACTTTCATGTTTCGCTCGCTTCTCTGGTTTAAATAAATGATTACAAAGCCCAGTTGAATTGTAATCAAGACCCAACATTTCAACACTCCAGTCTAGTGTCTTCATCAGTGGTGATCTAAAGATGCAATCGTGGCTTCTTAAATACCCAAGGGATGACGTCACCTGCCAATGAGATGCATGTATTCCTCTGGCAAAAAGGCACCGTCATCCCTATTCAAAGCATGATTACTCATATTTATATGCCACGCTTCTAGGCAAAGTCTTTGACCATAGCGATTGTTTGTGGTAATTACTTTAGAGTTTTCCCACGCAATCTCATGTTTGGTGTAACACACATGTTCTGCACAGAACTGTCGAAGGGAAATTAGAGACTGATGCTTATCGCAAACCCACACACACAGACAAATATTTGTTATACAACTCTCATCACCAAGTAAGCCATAAAAGATTCGTAGCAAAAACTTTGCTTCAAAGAGCTGAATCCTTGCCGTCAAAAAGTGATTCTCAAGCTAATGAACGTGAATATGTTCTAAATGTTTTAGGGGAAAACAATTACCCAAAACATTTTCTTAATGATTGCCTGAGATCACCTGTTTGTAAGAATCAAAATAACTCCGAGGATGATACCTCGGGTTATGGGTTATGGGTTATGCAATAGTTCCATACATTCAAGGTGTCACAGAACCAATCAAGACAATATTAAGTACAGTAATTGTAATGTTAAGGTTGCCTTAAAACCCTATTTGACTTTTGGCCATATTTTCGCAAAGCCAAAAGATCCTGTTTTAACAAATCAGAAAACTCATCTATACTATGCGGTGACTGCGAGAAAGAGTATTTGGGTTAGTCTAAACACCAGTTTCGTACACGGCTAAAAGAACATCAAAAGGCTGTTTCAAATTTAGACAAGGGAAAATCGGCTTTAGCAGAACATGTGTGTTACACCAAACATGAGATTGCGTGGGAAAACTCTAAAGTAATTACCACAAACAATCGCTATGCTCAAAGACTTTGCCAAGAAGCGTGGCATATAAATATGAGTAATCATGCTTTGAATAGGGATGACGGTGCCTATTTGCCAGAGGAATTCATGCATCTCATTGGCAGGTGACGTCATCCCTTGGGTATTTAAGAAGCCACGATTGCATCTTTAGATCACCCCTGATGAAGACACTAGACTGGAGTGTCGACTTGATTACAATTCGACTGGGCTTTGTAATAATTTATTTAAACCAGAGTAGCGAGCGAAACATGATTGATATACCTGGTTGCAGTGAACGAACAAATTTTAAATCTTTATTGCACTTTTTATATTTTGATTTGTACATGACGTCACAAGAAGGACTTGAGATAATGGCAATAACAAGAAAGTATGATATCTTGGTGACCATTTAATAAAATTCAATGAAAATTAGTACACTTAGTGGGTGCACCCATGTAAATATTTTTGGAAGGTCATGTGGTTGCCATGGCAACAGACTAGTCCCCAGTCTCTTCTCTTCCTTTTCACAAATGTCCTCCTGTATACCTCTGGCAGAGGATGTTTGCATGTTATAACGATTTAAACTGATCACAATACCTACATGTATTATATTAATGAGCGAAATTGCAGAAATTGCAATTTATTTCGTTGGAAATGGGTCACTTAGAAATTGGAAGAGAAGGGACTGGGGACGAGTGTGTTGCCATGACAACCATACATACAAGCCAAATTGTTGACTTTGTTACACCCACTAAGTGTGCCAAGTTTCATTGAATTTTATTAAATTGTCACCAATATATCATACTTTCTTGTTATTGCCATTATCTCAAGTCATTCTTGTGACGTCACAACTCAAAATATACAAAGTGCGATAACTTGGGAATGAGATGAGATACGAATAAACTGCAAAAGTCATTCTTCATCATTTGAGCAGTACCTTTTAATACAGCAATGAAAAATAAGGCAAAAATTTTGTTTCATAAGCACTGAAATAGAGTATTTACTCTTATACCTTTTTTCGTCGTAATCTCCGTGCAATTCACCGCTCCTCGTTTTCTGGTATTGTCTTTTTCTTGGCCATTTTGATCCACACACCAACAGTAGCCTGTAGAGCTATGACATTGCATTGGAGAGTAGCTACCGTCCTTCTCGCATTGAGGTGTATAGCTTCCTAACAATGCCGGTGACTGCGCCTTTTGAAGCTCGCATGCCGTTAATTCTATAGGTAAAGAAGTTCTAATGTTATTGAAGCGATCTGGGAGCAAGATGTTTTGCGAGAATAATCCTGTTTTCAGACTGTGGATTAATATGTAGAAAATATTTTTTTTGGCAATATGGAAAGCATTGTAACCAATTAATGTACATACTCGCTTTCATTGGAACTTTTCTTGCATGTTTTCAAATACAGTATATTTATACAGAATTACAAAACTTGATAGATTGGATGAAATATTTGTACTTGTGCTGCGCATAGTGTGGGCATTTTGTTTTGCGACATTCGTTGAACGAAGATCTTATCGGACAATACAAGCACCGGTTATAAGTGAAGTGGCTGTATTTTGTATAAAGCACTGTTCGAAAACAGGCTAGCTTAATCCTAGATTAACGTTACTTTAAAGCAAAGTTAGAAACTTTTGGCAGAAATTTTGTCTGGAAGAATAAAAGTTTTATTTTCCAACGTTTCAAAAAAAGCCGACATGCAGAAATGCGCAAGCCAATTGCAAAACACCGAGCTAAATTTTAACCCAAAGTTATCGCTAATCGTGCTTTAAAAAAGTAGCTCCAGGACCCTTGTAAAAGCCTACATGCAATGACCATGTCGTTGCATCAGTACATCTGTATACTTACTTTCAGAACAGTTGACAACATTTCCGTCGGAATCTTTAAATTCAATTTTACACATACGACATGGATCAACATTACATTCAGCATCTGGATGTGCGGGACAACTGGCCAGTTGACAATGATGAAGACAGAGGAGGAACGGCCTCCCATTTGGACATGCTGGCAATATTAAAAAAAATGCGGACATGGTAAGTACACACGTAAAAACGCGCAGGATGTTGCAGATCTGCAAACAAGTTATAACAAGGATATTGTCAAGGCGGTGTCAGGATGTGTTCGCAATGCTTGTTCTCAGTTTTTTAGTCAAGTCTGAAACAATACAGCGGCGGATTGAGAGAGATATAACAACCTAGGGGCCTTTGCCAAGACCGGATTTTGGTGGAAATAGTGGGGAAGTTGGGATAACTTTAGGGGAGGTGCAGCAGTGTAGCTCACGACCATCATGGAAATCTAGGGCTTAGAACGGGCCAAAGTGAACGACATGACGTATATGCATGTAGTGTACATATGCATCAGTGTACGAATTAGGACTGTACAAGTCATCCAATTTCACTCTTCAGTACAATTACGACTTAACAAATATAAAACATTTTCTGTGTTGATATACAGTTATATCAACACGAGTGGAATTGGGAAAACGAGAAATTGTGTGGAAACACGACGCCCGAAGGGCGGAGTGTTTTCATACAATTTCGAGTTTTCCCAACTTCCACGAGTGTTGATATAACTATATATCAATACGGAAAAAATGTTTTATATTTTTTTTATAATATAGCAATGTCAAAAGCCCGAAGGATAAGAAACATTTCCATGTTTACAAGCAGCGGAAAATTTCCCGTGTTGACATTGAGTTATATCAACACGGCTCTTAGCCAATCAGCGTTCAGAATTTACAAATGCTATATTATAAAACTGTATATAACAACACGGAAAAAATGTTTTATATTTGTTTTATAATATAGCACAAAGAAATATAAAGAAATAAATTTTCCGATGTTTCCGTGTTGACATTGAGTTATATCAACACTGCTCTCAATCACCGTTCAGAATTTACAAATGCTATATTATAAAAAGTTTTTAAACATTGCAAAAGGGTATACTTGACACAGAGATGAGTGGCTGCTATAACTCTTTCAATTTTACAGAAAAACTTTCTTACGATGTATAGACCCTAAGCAATCAAAAACTTTGATATATCATTATATTTGATATGGGAAAATTTCCCAAGAGGAGGTGCATGACTTTTTAGAGGAGGTGCAAAAATTCTCAGGGGAGGTGCAAAACAATCTCAGGGGAGGTGCGCACCTCCCCACACCCCCTTCAAAATCCGGTCATGGCCTTTGCTCGAAAAGTCGAAATTCTGCTTGTAATTTTCAGGTAGTTGAATCTCTTTTAAGTCGCCATCTACCCAGGCACATGCATCTAAAACAAGTTACTTGCTATATCACTTTAATTGTTACAAGGCTGATGACGGTAAAACAAGTTGTCGTCATTACAAGACTTGCAGACGATATCAGACTTGTTGGATTAATTTGTTGCGAGTTTATTGGCTCGTCAACTTTGTTTTAGACGAAAACAGTTTGTTTCAGAAGACTTGCCAACAACTGAAAACAAGCAGTTTAAATCATCAGATTATATATTTTGGTCATTTTTTGTCATTAAAGTTTTATGACATCGAAATAGATTACATCAGGCCATATCAAGCGTCAGTTAAGTACTCTTAGTTAGATATGGCAAATGGAACTCTTTAGTGTCAACACGGCTGATATGCAAAAATTCGACCACATACCCAGTTGTTCGTCAGCCGGTTTATGGCATGTTTTGCCACAGCCAACCTCACAACATTTTGATTTGCCTGAGCAATCTCTATCATTGTCACACTTCAAAGGACAAGTATCAGATGGCTTTACTGTCGGACACCGTCCTGGTTTGACCTGGGTATTGTTTACTAAAAGGTATAAAAGGCGGTATCAAGTCTCAAGTAAATTTGACAATGGCAGAACTCCTTAATGCACATGATTAGTTCGACACTGTGCGACGTCGATTTAAACACCGATATTACCATGATTCCTGAAAAGCACTATCGCAAACATTTTATCTGATATATCCATAAATTTAGTTAAGTTCGACGTTTTAATCGACAATAGAATTATACCGGATTTTATATGCGGATTAGACTCGGCGCAGCAAGTTATTTTCCCGAAAGCAATCGAAATCATCCTCATCTTGATCAACTTTTTCACTGTCAAAGTTATCCTGGTATGATGCCATTAGCTTAATTGCAAATTAATTTTCCTTTTATTCCTACAAAAATGTTTTTTTCGCTATTATAACTAAAGGTAGATATAACAGTTCTTCTCAGAATAACCCAAGTATTACACCTATACCAAAATTCAATTCTGGGGTTGGTGGCACTTTCAAATAACAACAAATAGTGTATATGCAGCATGCAAGATAATATTATACTCTTGCAAAAATCCTAAGCATACCTTAAACCAAACAGCTTAATTCAAACTAGTATAATTATATAAAAGCAACAGCAAAACTTAATGTAGCTCTGTCCTAGTATAACACTTCAAGTCCAACAAACAACAGCGTGTAGTAAAGTACAATTGTAATTACATTGTACAGACGGAACAAACCGTTCACAAAATGTCGCATTTAGCCAAAGATCTGCCTGCAAAGCACAAGTTACTTGCAAGTATCGTAAATTTTACATATATATATATATATTACATACCAAAGAGTTTTTCACGAGTTTTAATTGCGCAGTTGGGTTTTCCCCTCACGTGAGTCCACTCTTGTTCCACTCCAGTTTTTTGATCCACGCACCAACAATATCCTGTCGATGCCCAACATTGTATACGGGAATAATTCCCGTCCTTTTCACATTGAGGCGTAAATCTTCCGACCGGCTGTAAACCGATGTACTTACTACTGAAAGCGTCTGCGCGTTTCAGTTCACATTCAGACATGTCTGTATATGAAAAATATATGATAAATATTGATTATTAATTAATCGATTATATTCGTGTTAACTATACTGTAAATAATTACCCTTGAATACACCCTTTCGATAATCACAGATACTTTTTGGTCTTGGAGCCTCGCTCTCATTAGTGAATTACGCGAGGTGATTAGCTCACGATCCATGAAAGCGAGGCGCCCAGGTCAAATAACGTAATTATCGAAAGGGTGTATTGCAATGTTTGAGGTGCACGTACGAGGTCCTCCCACAGAGCTAACTGCCAACAATCTGCCTCGTTATATTATATTTCTGAAAGAAGTCTCCAAGTGAAATTAATTAGCCACTGTCTGAAAACCAAGAAGCATTGCGCATGTGTATTAAAATATACCTTGGTTACAATCAATCAATTTGTTGTTCTCATCAAAATACTCCACTGCGCACATTTTACATGGATTGACACGACATTTTGCCTCAGCATTCACGGCGCAACCTTTACTCCATTGACAAAAAGGACGGAGACACATCATCATTGGAAATCCATTGGGACAAACTGTAAAACATAAAACCAAATTAATAATATACATGAAAATTACTCGATTCTAAATGAAATTTTATCTAAATACAGTGTTTAAAAAAGAGATACAGTGCCAAAAAAGAGAAATACATAGCAAGCACCAAAACAAAAGTCATTGACTTTTACGTTTTGACATCTGACAATTGATAACGTGGCAACGTATTAAATTGTTGTGCAATTGTTGTAATTGAATTATCTATTTCGTGTATGTTTTGCGTATGTTTCACATTCACGTTGGTGTCCATTGATTTGCTTCTGCACAATTTTATATTGCATATCACCATTTTGGTTAGAAAACTTTGAATTCGCTATTTTTGCTAATTTCTAGGTATATTTAAGACACAAAAACTTTGTGAAAACTTTTTAATATAATAATATCACATGCAGAATATATGAAACTTGTCGATTTGCAGCAACATGAGTTCCACCTTTGAGTTTACTATAAGAGTAAAATGTTAAACACGACTGAATTTACTTATACAATAAATTCGCGAGTCCTTTATACTGACAATAAATTAGCGACTCCGCACAAAACCAGAAACATTAGACAAAACTAATTTTGGGTATAAAGGTAACTAATGGCCTTAGAAGGGAGGAAGGTCGTGCCGCGGGCTGGAAAAAAGGTAGTAAAGGTCGTAAAGTTTAGACTAGGATTTGGGCAACATGCGTCGCGAATTCATTGTATTAACAAATTCGGACGTATTTAACATTACACTTAGCCTACAAATTCAAAGATCGAGCTCATGCTCTTTGCTCGAAATGCAAATGTGGCGCCATGTTTTTCCGCGTATATTCACTCTACACAGAACATCTGTGTGTTATCGATGTTTCCTACCTGGCCGCCTTGGTTCCGGTACATCAGAATCTAAAGATGAATAAATGGAGTAACGAAATAATTTTATTTGAAACTGATGCACCAATTACACCAAAGTGAAATGGCGGTTCGATATCTCTTCTTAAGAAGATTCGTTATTTATGGAGGTTTTTTCACAAATGTGTTTACTATTGTCACAAGGGCGGTGCTGAAAATTCTGAGGGGAGGCCAAGCTGCAGCAGGAGGCTGGGTGCACAGTCGCTATTGGGGGATGTTTGGAAGTGAGGGGGGAAGCCCCCAGAAAATCTTGAGACTTATGGTCTTATTTTGTTTAAAATCCCTGTTTTTAATCTTAATTACTAATGTAATTTAATCCAGCCAGCATTTAAATAACATCCCCTGCACCCCCAGAAAATCCGTCTAAGATTGTCACTTATTACAGCCAATTGCAGTTGAGCTTGCAGCTTGCATTTTAAACGCGTTGTTGCATCGTTGAAAAGTATGCGTTCATTCCTTGGAAACACGCCGTTGCTAGGGGCGTAACGTGAACTTTTGGCGCGCGTTGTAACGACGTAAACATGTTTTTCTATTCTTGGCGTTGACGAATTAAATTAGATTTTGTCACTTTAAATTAGATTTTGTCACAAAACCGACCAGGGAGTTCTAATTTGACTGCAGGCACTCTAAAAATACCTTACTGTTCCGTCGCAGGCTTAAGCGGCGTTTTTACAATATATTTAACTCGTTATAAGAAGTTCAACAATGCCCGCCAAAAGTTCACGTTACGCCCCTAGCAACGGCGTGTTTCTAAGGAATGAACGCATACTTTTCAACGATATAACAACGCGTTTAAGGTGGCTCCCTACAGTTATAGTCCAGTTTAAAACATTTATATAGCTCAGACGTCATCCTCGCGACTCGCGCGTGGAATCTTCGTGGCCCGGTAAAAATCTTGAAAAAAGCCGCGGGAAGTTGTTTTTGTATTTTTATCTACAAAGAAAACGCCAGTTTTTTACTATAATCCTAAACTTTTCAACATTCGAACAGTACGTATATTGTTAGCTAGTTTTTTACCTACCTTCAGTGTGTTTTTTTTATATATTTAATACGTTCGGAACTGTATTTCATAATGCTCACAATGTTCAACAACAGTGTCACGGACTGAAAATATATTTTATACTGTCTTCAAGACGCTTCTGAACTGTCACTAAAACTTACGTAAATCTTGTCATCCAATTCAGTTCACATGTACTTTTTTATCTGCTGAATCCAATAAAACTATAATGCAGACAGTTACGAGTTGTTTTATACGAAAAGTCAAACTCTACTTGAATGTTTTGAAAAGTTTTCACACCGATTTTCACAACAAAGCTAAATTTAAGAAACGTTGGATTAAGTCACTGTCAGTGCGTTATTGTGTTCTCAATTTTTCGTATTTTGAACATATATATCTTTTATTTTCATTTCAAATAAGTAAAAAATATCTGTGTGATATATATAGACCAAAAACTCAAAGTGAAAATTGCTAAAAAAGCCGACTATAAACCGTACACGTTTCGTGTTCCTCACGCATTGCCTTGATTTACACGCAACATGTCGAATCGATATTTTGTCACGTCAACAGCTTCAACTGGATTTAGGACTATTTTTCTCGCGTTTCCTTCGGTGAAAATTTTTTAAACTTTGCACGTTTGCTAAGCATGACAATTCAGATTTTTTGTAGTCGTTATTCATGAATATTTCAAAACCTGCCTTATAAACATCCCTTCAAATTTTAATATGTCATTCCTCTTTCAACCATAAATCTTAAAAAAAAAATTCAGAAAAATTGACCGAAGGAAAAAAAAGATATTGCCGTTTAATTGTAAAATTAGACAATAAAATTGCAAAAGATGAAATGTCATGGTTGCCATGGCAACACTAACACTGTTCCTATTTGTCCATATATCGACAGCAGAAGACTTCTGAACTTTCCTGGAAATGATTATATTGCCCTGTCTTAAGTGTGTTCAATATAAATTTGGTTGAAAACGAAGGTTACCTAAAATACTTAAAATTTTAGAAAACTGTAGGGAGCCACCTTAAAATGCAAGCTGCAAGCTCAACTGCAATTGGCTGTAATGTACGATATTATTAATGTACGACATTTGTATCAGAAATTTATTACCAATATTATGAGTTTAGGTAGATATATAACTGTTAATCTACCAATAGACTCGCGATAGATTATTCAATACTCGCGGTTATCGGCCAGTTTACCAAACCATTCTAATTTATGAATAAAAATGTGTTATCTTAAAGGCGGAAAACAACATTAATCCATACCTGGACGTTTGAAGCCAAGCAAAAGAGGAGTAGTTTCTAAAAGTGAATAACTCAATTTAAATTTAACAAATTCCTGTAACACCATGGAATCTTTCTTGGCGGGATTGTATTAATCTTCGAAAAGCAATCATAATCAGCTGTATATGTACTCCTCAAATCAAGATGGAATGTTTCAATTTCCTTGGCGGGCTTAGTTGGAGCTATAAGTTGGCGGTGGGTGAGGAATGCTAATTGATATTATACTGAGGTCAACTAAATCACGAAGGGCACAGCTCAATTTGCACAATCGAATCGAGGCTTATCAAAGGCGACTCTGCTGACTGTCCTTGCAAGACTCATATCTGTTCACGAAGCACATGTTGTTCTCATCTCCCTTCACAATTTATTCATTGTGCAATTGAAATGACATTTTTTTGACAACACGGATGCCAACCACTGAGCTATACTATATTACTGGAGGACCTACTCGGCATGAAAGAGTGTCGCCAAAAACATGGCGGCGCTTACGCCATTTCCATGGCAACTGGTCCGAAGTCTCCATGGTAATTGCCACTGACCAACCGCGATCCGAAGCATTAAACAAAGTCCAGCACCCTCCTGTTTTTACACAAATATTTCAGAATTTAGACTTTACTAAAAGTTTCGGTTGTTTTTGAGCTAGAAAATCTTTCCCTCGCACTTTACTTGTTTTACGATGTGGAGGAAAAGTGCCGTTTTGTTTCGTTTGTTCATGCAACAATTCACTATCAAGAAAGATTAACTATTCTTTCAGGTAAGATTCATGAAACTATTTTTAATTTGTAGAACCTTGCTAGATATAAATTAAATGACTCTCGAAATGAGTCAAATGACTATAAATATATAACTATATAAGTCAAAAACTCATGCATGCTACTATATATATATACAGCAAAATTAATATTTCAATAGCAGACACATTAAAGAGCCTCTGGAACCGGGGTACGGAAACATAAATCCTGTTTATAATCGTTGAAAATTGTGGACATGAAATTATGTTGTTTTGTGTTTTTTATTGCCAGTTTTTAATATAAATTTATAATAATTGTGGTTGTTCACTTGCTCATACGGTCGTACAGATTATATATGGTGTGAATCAGGATTAATATATACATAACAGTGGTGGCCACTTATTGTGAGGGGATTTAGGTTGCCACCATATGACCATGCACTTTATGTTGTTGGAAATCGTAGTTCTTTAAACTTTTTTGCCTTAAACCGTGGAACACCAGTGTGCTCTCCCCTTCACAAGTAAAATTGTCTGGCATTAGACAGATTGAGTAAGGTAATCTGGTGTTAGACAGAGTAAGATTAACTAAAGTTGGGCACATTGGGTATGCAGATAGTTTGATTTATATTCCATTGAGTACCATGAGCACTCTCACCTTGACGAGTAAAATAGTCATGCATAAGCATGCAGAAAATTGTCTGATTAACCCACTGAGTGGCAGTGCTCTCCACTAAAGTGCGGTACATTAGGGTCAGGGGCGTAACTACAGGTGTATCACCCCCCTCCCCAATCTTTCGAAACGGTACTCTCGTCGGGCAAAAACTAAGAAAAGGTCGGGTAATTTAGTATTTTTGTCATAAATACTAAATTACAGTACATATTATGTAAATATATAAAATTTTTGTTAACATTTTGTGATTTCTATTTCCAAACCTAGAGCTCAAATCATTGGTAGTTACTTGACCTCTGAAAATATGTTTAATGTAGTGATTGATATTGGATTGATTCTGAGAAAATTATGAGTCAAATATAAATTTACATTTTAAAAACAAGTTTTTAAAGGAAGAAATTTCTGCCATCTGGAGGGGAGAAAAAATTGTTTTTGACAATAGTAAATGTATTAGGACATCTGAAGGGGGTAGGGGGTTAACTTCCTATTTCCTCTGTGGGGGTGGTATGGATGTTTTCTGGAATGACCCATTGTACCTTAATGCACGGCCCTATTTTATATAAATTGATAAACACCAGACAATTTTACTTGTTGAGGGGAGAGCACTGGTGCTTAAGGAGTTTATAATCAGGTGTATAATGACACAAAAAGTGTCCCCAATCAGTATTTTATAGGTAGACAGAAACTACCTTCCTGGATAAGCCAGCTTCCAGTATCCCTGTAGCTTATACAAAAGTTGGTGCATATTAAATAAACACAAACCACAAACCCTACACATCATAGTTTCATCAAGTGTATGTTTATAAAAGTAATAAAACGAGACCTCAGGTCTCTGCAGTCAACTTTTTTAACATTATTACACAAGATAGTTTGCACTTTAGTGAGTTTAGACAGTATATCATACAAATTTGTGAATATCAAATCTTTGTTGTTTAGAACTATTAAATATTTGACAATACAGCTTAGTAAAATAATGGGAAATTTTACACCTTACAATATGAAATTTGGACTGTAGAAATCTGAAAGCCTGTTTTCTTAACAAATGAAGTGTATTTCATCGGTAGACCAATTTCATGTCAAATATTAAAGATAAAGAATAAGTAAAATTGACTAGACGTCTCTTACCCGACTCAAGTATCGTAATACTCTTTTCCCACATTTCTCGAGGTTTTATTTGGCTTTCGCGGGCGAGAATAACACGTACGATTTGCATATCTTTAACCAAATGGTCAAAGGTAGTAAATATATCTCAACATTTAAACAAAAGATTTAAAACAACGAGAACTATAAATATTTATCTGCAAAACCAAATCTTTTGCAAAAAACCAGGGGGGGGGGTGAAAGCTGCCGTGGGCTCAGAATTGAGCCTGGTCAGTGGTAACTACCATGAGGCTTTCGGACCGGTTGCCATGGAAATGGCGTCATTTTCACTCAAAATCCGCCTTGTTTTTGGCGACACTTTTTTGACTGACGAGAGATAGGAGCAGTCCTCCAGTTATTATACAGCTCAGTGACGCCAACCCGGACGTCAACGGGCTCCGACTGAGAAAAGAAGCTTCTGCAGCCTGAACGAAAGACATTCAAATAACTAATTTGCCTCAAACATAAAGAGAGCACCGCACCAATAAATACTAAAGCTATTTTCAAATAATTGGTGCGAAGGAATCGAAAGGAACAGCGAGTCTGTCTAATTGTAAAAACTAACCTGAAACGTAGCTAAGTCGGGGGAGGGACTATTAATCGACATAAATACAAAATAGCCTAAAGGCTCATCTGCACGATGCGATTTTTGCTTACGATTTGTTGTATGCAACTTGCTGACGCCATCCCTGCGACTTTGTGCCGTCTATCTAGACGGTATACGATTATTGTATGCGACTTTTCCAATATTCCATACATATATCAAAAACTCTTCATTCTCAAAAACATAAACCATCTTTTTGTTTACGTTGTCTTGGTCACACTTTGAACAGGAGGCGTACCAATTTCGCTTTCTCTCATCTCACTGTTGATGTCCGCTATTTTGAATTATTTTTTCATTAAAAATGTATGGAATGTATGAAATGTATGAAAAACGCAGGATTTTAAAACAAGTATTAAAATTTTTACGACTTTTTTGTGTTGCATACGACTGTCATAATCAAGTTGTAGGGCTGTCTACACGGCACGATTCGTGTCGCAGGGATGACGTCAGCAAGTTGCATACAACAATCGTATAAGCAAAAATCTCATCGCGTAGACGGGCCTTAATGAATTTTGAGTTGTGTTTCAAGTTTTTCCCAGTCGACGTCTTTGAGTAGACTATATCACATGCATTAGCGTCATGATTTGAAAAACAACAAATAACAGGCAATACTAACTTTTACATTTTGGCGTCCCTCGTGTCATCGTTCCATCAATCTTTACTCCAGTCGTTCCATCAACACACCAGCAATAACCCACAGACCCCCAGCACTGAACCTCCTTGTAGTTCCCACCCACTTCGCACTCTGGCACAAATTGACCAATAAGAGGACGATCTGTCTTTCCAAGCAGTTCTGCACGCTTGTTTGCGCATGTTTGACCTACAGTGTAATTCCAAATGTCAGTGTAGAATGGATAAATAATAATACTTTCTACGCACGTAAGAACACACAACTTTCACAAAACCTGCAGCACACTTCTGCCAATGCTGGTTCAACAACTTGTTATCAGGATGTGTTCGCACCGCTTGTTCCCAGCTTGTTGACAAGTTGTCAACAGCTTGTAGACAATTTTCTACTATGTTATTGACTTCAGCAGACTTGTCAGAAGTTGTTCCAACAACTTGTTATTTTATCGCCCTGCAATTCAATAATTTGCATACCTGGTAGCATCCTTGTTACCTTGTATGACAACTATAGGTAAATTGGCAACACTGTTACAACTTGTTGACAAGCTTGCGAACACATCGGTCTTAATGTTGACAAGTTGTGAGATTTTTATATGTGTAGAACAATGCGTACTGCGAATGGAAAAGGCAACGTACGCGTCTATAGAAATTAGGTTAATCCATGACCTGGTATTCATTGCACAAACACAACAGAAGCAACGATCAGAGTCCCTTTAGTGGACCCCATGAACTTCTTTTTATATTTACACGAAAAAATCTAATCAATTTGGAATTCCAATTGGAATTTAAGCCAATGTCCCTCCAACATTTCAATGGATTCCAATTGAAAAAATTAAACTTTTTTGAAAAAGTCGGGTCAGGGTTACATATTGGTTAAGGTTCACAGTTAAGAATAATTTAACAGAGCAACAACACATGGTCTCGCGTGAATATTTTATTGATATATAGGGTCCGCTAAAGTGAACCTGCACCTAAACACTGCATGTACAATTATTCTCAAAACACGACGAAAGGTTCGAAACCTCCAGTAATAAACATGCAATTTAGTTTCCATTCGAGCTAACGTTGTAAACTTACAATGTACTCTTCGATGGTTCTTGTCAAGAAACTCAGCCTTGCATTGTCCACATGGATTAATTCGACAAGTAACTTCACCATTCTGATGACCAGGACAAGAAGCTATTGCGCAAATCATCGGATCACAGCTTTGAACATTTTTCACGCCGGCAGGACACACTAGTAATAGATGAAAAGTTTTAATCTTGGACGCGACACTTTTGGTAAGCGTGTTATATAGAAGGGTTGTTATGTTATGCTTATAGCTCTACCACGGCGTGGATACAGTGAATACAACATTGGGCTTTTGGCCGCAACTACTTCACAAAGTCTTACGTCAGGTACAGTAAAAGGGAAATAGCAATAACAATTTGTCTTATTTGTCTTAAAGTACTTTTTATGTGATGTAAGACTCTTTACAACTTTCCACATTATCATTCGTTTTCTAAATATGTCGGTCAACCAACAACGTGCAGTCCGCCATCTTGGTTCGTGGTTCAATATGAATGACATCACATATGGGATAAAGAAAACTTTTTAATTTGCCAATCATTTAATTATGAGCATTTGCGCTTTTTTATTACCAGATGGCTCACAATTATTAAAAACCTCACTCACCAAAATTCATAAAACACATAGTAATTTTGTACGCCAGTTGTAACGTCACTAAAGTTCGATGCCAATTACTGTAATTAGGTCAAATATAATGCCATTTACCTTTATCGCCTTAGCTAGTTGTGACAAAAACTTATTTTAATTTCGTCGTCATTATTAACTTACTATCTTTTGGACAGTCGACTTGTCCTCTCTTTCTCGACCCAAACCACTCTCTGCCGTTCTTATCAACACACCAACAAAATCCTGTTGAGCCATGGCATTGTTTCTCTTCATAACTTCCATCTGCTTTACACGAAGGCACAAATCTTCCTATGGCTGGAAGCTTCATTGCAGCCTCTTTTGCCAATTGACAGCCTGTCCTCTCTGCTAAAGTTTAGTGTACACCAAAAATAAGAAATTTATTTTAGTTAACACTGCGCCTTCATATATAATCGCCAAACACTAGGGCCACTAACAAGTTACTAAAGCTAAGCACGAAGTTGTATAGTAAGCGCTCTTGTTGCTTACACTATAAAGCCCAATAAATACGGGCAATGTTTCCTTGACAAGTTTATTCGCTCGCATGTCGTAGGTTCGATTCCCACCGTGGCCAGGCATATTTTTTAAGCCTGCCCAGTGTGGATATACACTCAAAGTAACATCACAAGCATCTTATTCGCCTGAGTACACTACTGCACCAACACAGCAAATATCATGATTATTAGATTACACTGATATTGAAGGAACTAGACTCAGTTCCGAAATATCACATACTCGAACCGATCTGACCGCGTAGCTCAGTTGGCAGAGCATTGGGCTAGTATTCCAAAGGTCGTAGGTTCGATTCCCACCGTGGCCAGGAATATTTTTCAAGCCTGCCCGGTGTGGATATACACTCAGAGTAACATCACAAGCATTTCAAGATTTAGTTTCAAGATGACAGTTTCAAGATTTATTCTTGAGTAGGCCGCACAGGAAAACTTGGAAACTTAAGGGCTGCCTCGTTTTCATCCTTCTCATGCATTAGAATTTACCTACCCTTTCAAGAACTGTGACAAGCGAACGTTATAGGATGTGGAATAAATCAAGCGTTGTTTTAATGAACCTCTATGTTCGAAATACACAGCATCATTCTTCTCATGTTTTTGAGTCACATCTCCCTCTCGCTGTATCGCTTAATTTTTCCCCTTAACCGCAATAGTTGCAAAGTGAGTTCATTTTGCACTAAAATATCTTGATATTTCTTTAATCACACCATATATTCAAGATTATGAATACGTGCATGAGGTTCTTTTTTTTAAATTATTGCATACATGTTCGAAATGTGTACGAAATAACCAATTAAGTACCTTTTTTCTTACAATCCAACTCCCCCATTTGTCCAATTCCTGTCTCTGTGGTAAAATCAGGAATTCCTGTTTCTTTATCAACGCAAAATACTCTACTACCCATGCGTTGTATCGATTCAAATTTTCCTTCTTTTGTACATGTTGGCGTATAACGTCCTGGAAGCGGATTTTTAACTCCGTAATCCCGCATTCTCTTGCACAGATTTTGTCCTTGAAAGAAAGAAAGTTTCGGCACAAATGAGAAGATTTAATTTGACCAATACAAAACGTTAGAAAATAAAAAGGGAAAAATTAGATTTGTTTTGAGAAGAATCAATATAGAATACCAAAAAAATAGAAATTAAAGGTTAGTTAAGAGCTAAACACTGCAGTTAATAGATTGCATTAATATGACCTTTATATGGAAAAAATAAATTAATTTTTAGTTACCATCATTGGTGCAAGTGATTTTCTTCCATGTAGTTTTATTGTAGTACTCGACATTGCACTGACCGCAAGAATCTATTCTGCATAAGGCATCTGGAGCATTTGGACACTGGGAAAACCGACACAGCGCTTGTGGACATTTCACTTTAGACACACCGGAAGGACAAGCTAAAAACAAGAGATAGTTATATGATCAATTACAATTAATATTATTTTTTATTAATTCTTTACGGATCCTGGTAGTACAAACTCGTCACACAAGGCCATTAAATACTTGCCCGCAAAAGTTTCATGTCACAATTCAGGTATTTTAATGCAAAAATCCCTAGCATTTTGAATAGTCTAAGAATGAAATTATTTTTGATGTTGTCACATCTTTTTTAGGCTTATTGTTTGGCAAGACACACCATGCACCAGTAGAGTTATTGATTGCTTTTCTCTTTTGCTATGATGTATTGTACCTCTTTATTTCTTTGATAAAGTATGAAACCAACTGCGAATAGAATTTCAATGTTGGACTCGGGAGAGACAAGAGGAGACAAAACTCAACAGTAATATTAATATTTCGAATTACAAATTGATCATCACACTAATTTACATAAGCTAACGTAGATATATAACATATGGAACAGTAAAATTCAAGGACTTGCAAGGCCACGTATCAGGAAATTAAAGGCTGAGAAAAGGCGTTTGAAATCAAGAAAAAGTGAAGTATAAACTGTTCAAATGGCAACTTTAATGACAGAATTTCAAACGGCTTCATAGGGGGTTGGCGGCTCGGTTCGACGCAGTGTCCGTTTTTTAATGTCAAACAATATCAGCCAAAATTAAAAAAACTAAGAAGAATTTAAATCTTTTAATCACTTCTTTATGAATTCAAGGACATTCAAGGCCTTTAATTCATTTTTCAAATTCAAGGATTTTCCAGGACTTTCAAGTTTTGTACGTACGAACCCTGGTGATAAGCAGAAAGAAAGCCTGTTATTACTTATTATTTTGAATGGAAGTAGTATTCATCAAATCTCTCAAACCACAATTGAACACTGGACTCAAAGCCAGCTAAGAAGAAAAGTCACACCATTCGACTTATCGTGATTACACCCTGTTGCTATTATCAAAGCTCTTTGATCACACTAATATTTCCGCACTCACGCTTTCTTCCTAATTATGGCGTCATAACGCTTGTACATATAGAACTAGATTAGCTTTTGTAAATTAGTCTGATGATGAATTTGAAATTATTTCAAAATCATTGCTTTTCAATCATGTCTCTTCCTGTCTTTGTCAAATATTAAATCCAAGATAGAACTTCTGTTGTTTTATGCTTTACTTAATCGTGAAGTTATTGGCGGGTTTCACTCATTAATCATGCCAAAGGGAGCAAAATGTAATTTCAAGAGGCAATTTTTAATCGGCTTAGATTTGGTCATTCTTGGTTGAAATGATAAAAAAAGGTGTCGTTCAACCTTTATCTTTATTTATTTAAATGATTTAAATCCATACAGTAAATATCGAATGCAAATGAGCACCAAAAATTGCATGGGTTACCTTGATCCATGACAAAATGGTCAGTTGATTATATTTTTATCGCAGTGAGATTACTTCTAACTTTATTACTAAACAACTGATTTTGTTAGGTCTTCAGGTTTTCTCCTCTGGAAGACGTGCATGTTGGCAGGGCCCCCAGAGAAATTCAGGGGCATGGGGCAAATTTTTGGGGGCTGTAATTTTTTCCTAAAAAGTTGGTGAGCAGGGGTGTGGGGTGTCGGGGTAGTTTTCGAACCCTAACCAGAAAAAAGGGCTGAATTTTTTACAAAAAACAAACCTGGATCTGAACACAATTGGCCACAGCCTGTTGAACAACATTTTTGGAAATCCTTGCAATGCGAGTCCTCGCCACAAGCTATAACACATGCTCCAAAAGTAGCTTTAGAAACATCAGGACATGACCCTGGTTTTTCCACTAGGAAAATTATAGTACATGTAAAATTAAAGTTAGAGTGCAATATCGAGAAGTGTGGCTTTTAGCCAAGTACAGGGCACAGCCCGAAGCTGTATTTGGATAGGCCGACTGAGGTTCAAGGAATTTAACGACTTATTACATGATTGACTATACAATTACTTTATGGTTTCCGTGTTTGCATGGCCTGATCCAAACACGCGGGAACGTTGCGAGAGTTAAGAAAAGCGCGAGAAACACGAGCCGAAGGCGAGTGATTTTGCGCGCTTTACTTAACTCGAGCAACATTCCCAAATGTTTGGATCAGGCCATCCAAACACGGAAACCATAAAGTAATTGTTTTATAAAATAACAACTTTCCGTGTTAAAATTTCACTTTAAAAAACTATCACTTTAAATTTCCGTTTTTGGATGGCCTGATCCAAACACGGGTTTCGACCAATCAGAGCACGCGTTATATACATCTTATTTTATAAAAGATTTTCCTCATAGGTTAATAAAAAGAATCTTCTTTTTATTGGAATGACTTCATTTTTGGCATTCATATTGTTTTATTCGGCATGACTTCAGTGTCTGATAAAATGGGAAACAATACTACAATACACCAGGCACCAGTGTAGCATGAACTGAATGACAATAGAGCACCTTTTCAAGCAAAGTATTAGCACCTTTTCAAAGAGCATGGGATTTCTAAAGAATACATCACGATTTGTTATTCAAATTATTTCGTAATTTTTCAAGGCAACGAGGTCAAGTCATTTGCCATTAGACTTGCCACAAGCGAATTCACTTTACTGAAACGGCTGTTTTTATATTGTATTTTCTATCAAATTAGTTTCACTTGCCTTTGTGATCTGAAATATACTGCTTGTATATTGAGTCTAGTTACATGTAATTATTACAACAAGCTTAAGTCACTCGCCTTGGCGTACGGGCTTCCACAGACTATAAATTGAGTTGTTGATGACAATTTGTTTTGGACACCTTTTACTTGTCGATTATCACTAATTTTGTGCGATAGCCGATAGCTACTTCCCACATACGTAACGACGTGTTTTAATAATTTTTTTTCTGTTAAATGAATAACAACGAAAACCACGTCAATCGTGTGATAAGAGGTGTTATGAAATTATAACTCACTCATGTCATAATCCGAACATTTATACATTTAAGCTCCATACAAACCAGCAAGTTTTCCTTCACAAGTTCACTTTGAGGCAATTTTCCGTTGCAGTCGCTTTGCCCACGCGGGCAGAGCGGGCTTTGAAAATCTGTTTACGCGGGCGTGACGGGCTTCAAAAACAATGAACCCTTCGCCCGCGCGGGCAAAGCGAACGTTAATGGAAAACGGTCTTAAAGCATACTTAAGGCGGATTTCCATTTGAGTGCAAAATTCGTCGCGATCGACTTTTTTCGATCCGCTTTCTTTTGAAATACAATCCTAGGAAATTCGCTCCCCTTTAGGAAATTCGCCCTCCCTTTAGAAACTCCACCTAAACATTTCGCCCTTCCTTACAGTTGCATGGGATAATTATTACATGATTTTAGTCATTTGAAATCAGTATATATTCAAAATTGTTAAGACAGAGCTTGAAATAACAGCCGATCACCGATCAATGATCGGCAAGAAATTGCTTATCATCGGCGGAAAAGCAGAGTTTCCACCCTGAAAAAAACAGGGAAAGTCACGGACTGTCGATCACCATGATCGGGAACTTTAGGAACGTAATTATTTCAAGCCCTGTAAGAATACAAGTTTATACAATTACATATATCGAAAAGGCTTACAGCAGATCAATAGGACTTAAGTTATGACGCTTCACAGCACACCATGCATATTCAAGCTGATAACGTCGCACTATCGCCGAATTTAATTCAGACGAATTTAATTGAACGAAATAAATGCAACGGTAGTGCATCGTATGAAACGAATTAAATTCGTCTGATGAATTAAATCCATCCAAGACGTTTTATCCGTCATGGTCAGACGGATACGTTTGTAGCGCGTCTTTGTTTCATACGACGTCTTATCGTTGAATTAAATGCATAAATTATGTTGAAGTCTAGGCACAGGAAAATGCACCACTTTCGGCCCAAATGTGGTCCATTTTCCCGCATATACAAATAATACAAAATTTGCATATTTCGTATTAACGTAACCAAACGTTGCAATTTTAGTAATTTTAACATGCTCTTTCTATAGCTGTGGTGATGGATTTTGTTCTTCTTTCCTAGATCAAAATTTAGTCTATAGCTGCCTGGGATCATCTATTGAAATCTTTTTATCTAATTATTCATTATCAAAAACATATGTGTCGGTTTTGTATATTAAGCACAAAACGTGGATATATTTTAATTATTAGTGTTTTCAGTTGATAATGAAAACACATTCTACTTTCTTTGGTAAGTCATTATGCATGTGTTACACAACGTGGGGTAATTTACATATCAATTAAGCATATTAAAATAAGCCAAGTAACAGAAATCTGGAAAAGACGTTACTACATACTTTTAATTAAATGTTCTTTCTAACGAGACATTCAAGTAGTATTTCGGTGTTGGGGCATTTTAACATATAACACATGAATATATACAGTACCTGCAGCAGAAAGCCCAAACACCTGACAATAGAACAAAGATATATTGATTAATTAATAAACAAGTCAGTCTCGAGATTTTTATATGTGTCACAATAACAAGACTACATTGGGTCATCGTAGAAGAGATCCCCCCCCCCCCCATGCACTCTGCCAGAAGTAAAAGGTTTAAATAAATTGTAAAATATCATCGAAAATGTTAGTTAATTAAAAATAACTTAAGACTTTTATACACAACCAGCCCCAGGACATCGTAACATTGGGAAAAAAAGGAAATACTGTAACTTCCCATTTCCTCCACATGCATGGGTGGTGTGTACATGAGTTATGCAAGACCTATTACAGTATACATACTAGTACAGTAGTATTTTATAATAATTTTCATTGGTTCAGTAGCTACTTACCAATAATGCAAGATAAAACAGCTGTATTTTCATTATCGACTAAAAAATGAAAGTTTTAAAAACGTAATTCACCCTGTGTATGTACAGTGATCAATTACAGTGATGCAGAAACGAAACAATATAACATGGATTCCTGAACTGTCCAAGGAATATGAAATACACCATACTCTTGAATGGCAGTGCATGGAATTTGTGTTCTCCGGCCCCCCTATTCGGCGTGGTATAGCATATATTAGTGCTGATATAGGTAATTAATAGTATGGTTTCGAATTTTCGAGTGCAATTTGGAAAAAAACATACACGAGTGCGTTTTTCAAAGATGATCAAAATTGCCCGAGTGCAAAGGACGAGTGCAATTTGAAGACTTTGAAAAACCCACGAGTGTATGTTTTTCCAAATGCACGAGAAACCATATAATACTATTACTTGTTAATAATATACATGAAGAGTTTACACGCTTCGATAACATGCACCTGTTCTAACACACCTATGCCTACGCCATTTAAGCAACGCATTGCTTGTTAGCAAACCTTTTCAGTTTATGTGCTCCTTAATTGTACTTAAATTGTTATATTCACGTACGATTTTTCATTGAAAGTGTGCAAAAAGTCGTCAAATAAAAAAGTGAAAATTTACATTCTACTATCTTCCTGCCGCTATGTTGATTTTTCCCGCCTCGTTTCTAGGCTCTGCTCTTGTTTTGTTAATTGTACTGCAATAATTGTACAATGTGTAATTGAAATGTATTCTGATGCTTTGTAAAGTTAATATATTTTGTATTCAATATGTTTTGCCTAGACTCGGCTACAAGTTGACTCGTGGCGCACATTGCAACTTGTCTCATACTGTAAAACGAGCAAAAGCAACTAAAAAAATTGATAGGCTATGTATACCATGCATTATTGGTATTATTCCGTTTGAATAAATATTAATTCATTAGTCATTGCTATTAATATTATTATTCCAAGTCTCGTAGATTTTCATGATAGATCACTGTTTATATTTCCTTATTTTGTATGTATAGCCTTCTTCGGTCCCACTGCTAAAAAAATTGTGATTCATAAATATATCGACTGTAATGGACCATTTGCATTATAGACTAAATTTTGGTCTAGACAAAAGTTTTATCACAGCTTGAAAGAGCATCACAAAATTAGTAATATACCAAAGTTTCGTTGCGAAATTAGTTGTAAAATGTGGATAATATAGCCTTGCGAAATTTGCAATTTTCAGTCATTTTGTATTACTGAACGGGAAATTGATGCCCCAACACCCGATTGGGCTGTCAATTCCCCGTGCGTAATACAAAATGACTGAAAAACGGCAAACTTCGCAAGGCTATATTATCCGCATTTTACAACATTTTGCAACGAAACTTTGGAATATTACTAATTTTGTGATACTCTTTCAAGCTGTGATGTCTAGACTTGTCTAGATCAAAATTTAGTCTATAATGCAAATGGTCCATTAATGACTAAGGGACCGTTCATTATTTACACCCGGGGTTGGTACCGAAGAGATATGGGTTGGGTAATCAAGTTTTTGACTAGCTCATGGGTTGGGTAAAAAAACTTTGTGGCTGTCTGTCAGCTATAAAATAAAACCGAAATTACCATGCATTGGAAAATATGAAGAAAAATGTGCACAATACATTCTGTACCAAAGTAGACTATCAGTGATTGAGGAAGGACTCTATTATTGATCAGCAGGAACGTGGGTCCATTGGCACACTCAGTGAGTTTGAGTCTGAGTGAGCTTTTAAAATTTAGGCAACTTGATTTCTGTCACCATATAATCTTGTGTGTTTAATTATTAAGTACAGTAACACATGGGTTGGGTAAACATTATTTTGACCAATGTTGAGGTTGGGTAAATAAAAAAATTACAGCGTTTTTCGCTTCTCTTCGGTACCAACCCCAGGTATAAATAATGAACGGTCCCTAATCCGAAAAAACCGACATTCTCACACACCAAACAGCAACTTTAGTTGGCAACTGCCTGCATTGGCATTACCAACTAAAGTTGCTGTTTGGTGTAATCCATGAATAGAGATCGTATATTATGAATAGAGATCTATATAGAGCATTTATACTTTCAGGCCATTTTTGACAGCTTTATCTAAATTAATTGCCAATTATATATTACGGTTCAGCGCTGTTACACAATTTAAACCTCATTCATTGCCAATCGCCATGTTTTGATTTATGAAATAACTTCAGTTCCAGTGCTCAAAGAAATAAAAATTGGAAGAAATACAGTATTTCTTTTAAATTTTCTAATTTTTATTTCTTTGAGTTTTGTCCCATGAGTACAAGACCTTGTGTTATTACCCAACCATTAATTCAAAGCAATTAGAGCTGTCAAGTTACTACAATACGTTATATATAGCTAATTTGAATTGAAAGGGTTCAGTTTTTTTTTTATACACACTGTATATATAGTCGCATATCAATTTCAATCTTGTGCATAAAATTACGAAATGTCTAGTTGTGAGCGCTACTACATAATGCTAGAGATAAGAACAATTTACATATTCCTAAAGTGAAAATATGTTTTAACTTGTATGGTAGTAACAAATTGGAAGGAAATCAAGAAGGAAATTTCAATATTTTGAGAAGGAAATATTGTTTAGGAAAGTACTGGTGATTTTACTAATTTGCGCAATAGTCTAATTTTCCAATTTACGCAATAGTACAGGTTATAACAAGAATGTCAGGTTTCGCCATAGCAAATGATCAAATATCATAATTATAAAGGCTGGAATTTGGAAAGGAGAAAAGATCATGTCAACAGGTCCTATTACTAACACAAACTCAATCATATATGCAGCCGATCATGAATTTTAGGTACATAAATGTGGGTTTGTGACGTACTATTCTGACGTGTATTCATGCATGTACAATTCATTCTGCATGCATTAGCAATGGTTTGGCCTCGGACTGGGGCTCAAATTGGACCTCACGTCATACAATAATTCAAAAGTAGGTAATATGAAAAAAAATTCTAGCTATCACTGTAAATTCAAAAGAGTCGAATTTGACCCCTGAACGACTCTTAGGAAGTTGACTCTTTTGCATCAATAGACCATTTCCGCGCGCGCTCAAGTTGTCAAGAATATAAAAATAACACCAAGTTGAAGCTTGGTTCTAGTTTGCTATAGAAACATTACTATTTTAGCACGAAGCCTCATTCCCAGGCTATTGTCTGTATTGGGCATTCGTATTCGGAATTGCTAGATATATATCTATTGCTGGGCAAAATCTATAGGAAAAAGGCCAGTCATTTGTGGAAGAAATTTGAGATTTAAAACACTCCGCGCCTCACCGCAGAGTCATGACCCAGGAAATTTCGAGTTGGGAGCAGGCTACATGCACTGATGCATGATTACTTCAAAATTCGAGCATATAGTGTTCATATTCCATGCTATACATGTTTTGGTTTTTCGAAAACATCGCGTATATTCACTTTTGCTGTTTTGCAAAGCATAGTACGATCAGTAAGCCCAGATCTCCATTAGTTGCACTGAAGCATTCAAAGTCACACAATTGCGACAGTCCTTAAATTAATTGACTTTCAAAGAACTGTCACACTAGTCTATTGCGTATGAGAGAAACGTATGAGATAATTTTCATAGGCACAAAAATCCTTTGAAATACCAGCGTATGAGTACAGTACATCTGGCGTACCTCTAGCGTATTCAGCGTGTGTCTAGGATATGCTTATTGTATAAACCATGCGTCCGCGAATACGCACAAAATTTTTAAACATGCATGCTTAATTAAGTATGCCGTGTACCGTATGCGACCGACCTCTATAGCGTATGTCAGCGTTTTCCAGCGTACGGCTAACGAGTGATATTTTTCATACGCTGCGCAAAACATATTTCATGCCATTTCCAACGATTGAGTTAATAGCAATATATGCATTTGAGCACGTAATTCAAAACGTTGCGCAGTTCCAATGCCAAACGAAGGCGCAAGGCAAAGTCCACCAATAATATATGAGACCTCAAATACGTTGTGTATTAAAGTAAAAAGGGTTCTTTTTTGAGGAAGTGTTTGCCCGAATCTGCAATCCAAATCCGCTGCGCAATTATTGGGAGATAAATGGTGTTCATGAGCGTCCAACGATGCTAAGTTAAAATGGTTTTTATGCGACAATCCTTAAAATAATCTGAAATTGTTTGAATTTTTGTTTATTCTAATCTGGTTGCAGTGTGTGTATTCTGTAATTAATTGCGCTACGTAAGCCCTCTTACATGAGCAAATTTTGCTCTTAGACAATCGTGCAATATTAGACTTTGAACGTCACTGCGCGATTGCAGATTTCGTGCAAACATTTCGCCCTAACATGGATGTCTTGTAGAGTTGTGGTGTCTTTTATTATGTAAACATGCACGCAATACAATATGTATTCGCTTGTCACAAGTATGAGTATACTGTATATTTTTTATGGCAACGAATACATATTGTATTGCGT